TAAGTGGGAGTAAATCCATGAATAAACCCTTATCTTGGTTGTGTGGATAGGTTAAATTTTATACTGTTTGTTCAGGTGTCCTTGGGTCATTCTGGCCTTCAAGGTTTTCCTGTAAGAAGTTTATTTATTATTTTCTGTAGGCTGAGGTGGTGGGGGGAGGACGGAGAAGGGTGAACTATGCTATAATATTTCAAATGGGGGCTGTTAGTTATACTATAATATTTCAAATGGGGGGGTATTAGTTATACTATAACAAGATTAGCTGCCCGACTTGTAACCACTACGCTACCAGAGCTCCTTGGTTCCAACTCACAGTGACCCTGTATAGGGTTTCTGAGAAGTGGCTGATGGATTTCAACCATTGATCTTGCAGTTCAAACTAACCTGGTAGTCCAGTGCTTATTCTACAATGCCACATCAGGACTCCATTCTTACATCTGATCAAAAATGTAGATTCTGAGTCAGGACATCTGAAATGCAAATTCTCAGCAGAGAGTCAAATCAGAATGAATACATTTGAAGCCTTGTTCCTTATACTTGAGTGTCCACATCCTTGTATTGAGACCATTCACTGACACTTGTATCCCCCAAGATAGTGCCTTCCTTGAGGGCATGGAAATCACTCAAAATGTATTGATAAAATACAGACAACTCAAACAGAAACAGAGAAGGAAGGGAAGAGACAATTTCCATTTTTGGCACAGTGAGGACAATTTATTTCACTTCAACACTGGTCCTATATTCAACCATTTAGTAAGCTCTGTGCCAGTAGAATTTGTGCAGCACCTCATTCGTCCTCACCATAGTACTTGTGAAAAACATTCACCCCATTGTACAGACAAAGAAACTGAGACTGGTGAGGGGTGGAACTGATATCTGACCCTTCTCCTAAAAAATCCTCTTCTAACGGCAAAAGTGAGTGGTACAAACTTCACTATACACAGACATACACATATCCTGACCTACCCGGACCTGCCATAGCTGTGTACCTGGTGCCTGGTAGGTGCTCAGTATGTATTTTTAATGAATGAGTGAATGCAAATATTCTTTATGATAATGAACCAAATGAAAAGGGGTAAGTAGTATGACTCATCACTTTTAAAAAAATGTTTTATTGTATAATTATGTGATAGTTTATATGGTAGAACATTAGCTTTACATTCATTTCATTGCCATGGTTACAGTCCCCTCCATGCATCATCAACCAACCAAAGGCTATACCCTGCAAGCATGCCCCCTGGTCATCAGCACACAGCCCCTCTCCCTCTCTGGGTCTAGAGTCCCCAGCCGCTCCATCTCTCCACACCATCGTCTCTGCTTCTATCTCTGGCATCACCGTTTGTATCTTGACTATATGGCAGTCATTGCTTCTTCTTTGGTAATATAGGGAGACAAATAGCCCCCTAAAGGTAAAAGGAGGAACAAAAACAAAACACCACCAAATAAACAGCAACAGCAAAAAAGCAAAGGAAAAAAAAATCCCGAAATACAAACCAAAGAAACAGAAAAGCAGGTTGGATACTATAGTCTATAATCACAGAAAAAGGAGAGGAAAGAGAGAAGAAAAAGGGGGAAAAAATCTGTAGCCTAATATGAATATGACTTTAATGTCATCTCTTCAGCTTCTTGCCTTCAAGGCCATCTGATAAATTTCAAAATGCCACTGTTGGTTGTTATGCTGTACCTCAGGATTTAATTTTCAGCCTATTTTGTTTTTAAAGTCTCTCCCTCTCCACACCCCCTGTTCTGGCCTTTTCCCTATTAATAAACAGTTCGGGGACAGCTGTGGCCATTTTGAGCTGCCTGCTGGTAGCGTTGTTGTTGTTGTCAGGTGTCATCGAGTTGGAACCGACCCATAGCGACCCCATGCACAGCAGAACGAAACAACGTTCGATCCTGGGCCAACCTCACTACCGCTGCCACACCTGAGTCCATCAATGATTCCACCTGGCTGATCCATCTCGTTGGGGGTCTTCCTCTTTTTCTCTGACCCTCC